CAGAGGCCTGGACCTCCCATGCTGGTGGTACAGCACACCACGGCCCCCACTTCCTGGAATCCTCCTCCCCGCAAATTCAACCTGACTTTCCAACACCGGGTCCCTTCCCAGACTCCCGAGTTTCTCACGCCCTTGCCTTCTAACCACACCCTCCCCAGGATTATCCCCTAACCCCCCAGAACTCCCTGGCTTGGCTCATCACCCCCAGCTCCCCCAGCCGAGGCAAGGCCTGCCCCGTCCTGTGTCAGCCGGAAAGGACCAACTTCCATAGGTTCTCCCCAATCAGAACCTCTCTTGGCCGGGTCTGGTGGCTCACGCCTATAGTCCCAGCGCTTTTGGAGGCCGACTGCTTGAGGCCAGGAGTTCAAGACCAGACAGAATACAGTGAGACCCCATCGCTACAGAAAATAAACTAAAAATTAGCTGGGCGTGGTGGCGCACACCTTTAGTCCCAGCCACTCAGGAGGCTGGAGGCAGGAGGACTGCTTGAGTTCAGGAGTTCAAGGCTGCAGTGAGCCATAAGCCATGATTGTGCCACTGCACTCCAGCCTGGGAGACAGAGCCAGACCTGACTCAAAGGAAAAAAAAAAAAAAAAAAGGCCCTCTGGAGCCCTCCCAGTTTCAGGTCCCAGGCCTCCTCCCTACCCTTGCTTCCCCCGTTGGAAGCTTCTGCTGCAGACAGACGGGCTCTGCTCACCCGTCTCCTGACCTGCCCCAGGATCTTGCTCCGCCTGGGTCACGTGTCTGCAGCACCTGCGCTGGTCTCTCCTAACACCAAGGCCTGCCTGCCGGGTTCTACTCACATCCCGTCCCTCAGCCAAGGCTCCGTCCCTGCACGTTGTCCTAACTGGGTCCCACAGCAGCCCGTTTTCCCAGCCATTTCACCCTTCCGACAGCCCTGCCTGCTCTCCTTCTACTCCCCCGTGCTCTGTCAAGGGGCTGGTCTGTCACAGACTGAACCCCCAAGCTCCGCAGTACAAAGGCTTGGACCCAGGGCCCCCAGGAGGGGTTCAGGCAGTAAACAGAAGGTATGTGGAGGGCTGGTGCATTTAGTGCCCAAAGCCCTTCTTAGCCCCTTTTCTTTCTGTTACTACTACTAAATAACTCTGGGTAAGTAATTTAGCAAGAGATTAACGAACCCAAGGAGGAGGTACTGCAGAGGCCAAATTGTGGTCATGTGATGTTTTGAACATGTACACACCCTGCCAGAGATAGAAAGCACTTCAAGAAGTTTCCAGTCTATTTGGAAAGACGATGAACACAGAGACTGTCAGAAATCTAAGAGGTAGGCCAGGCATGGTGGCTCACACCTGTAATCCCAGCACTTTGGGATGCCGAGGCAGGCAGATCACCTAAGGTCAAGAGTTCGAGAACAGCCTGGCCAACATGGCGAAAACCCATCTCTACTAAAAATACAAAAATTAGCTGGGTGTGGTGGTGGGTGTCTGTAATCCCAGCTATCCGGGAGGCTGAGGCAGGAGAATCGCTTGAACCCGGGTTGCAGTGAGCCGAGATCACACCACTGCACTCCAGCCTGGGTGACAGAGCGAGGCTCTGTCTCGGGGGAAAAAAAAAAAAAAGGAAAGAAATCTAAGAGGTATTCCAGGCAACCCCCTGTCCTTCCCCAACAGCCATGCCCCGCCTGCCCCTGGGAGGTCAGGGCTCCCCAGATCTGTGTCAGGAGAGGCAGCCACCAGCTCCTCGGAAGGAATGGAGTCAGAGGCTCCAGAACAGGACCAGCAGGGGACTGCTGAGAAGTTCCAGGGGGGCTCTAATGTTGACCCCGAGTTAAAAGACTCGGATAATACAAAGGATTTGTATCCTGCTGTCTTTTAAATTCCCTGAAGAAAACACTAAAATGTTAAATAAAAGTGGTGGACAAAGAAGGGAACTATCACAAAGGGATTCCTGCAGGAGGGGAAAGGTGCCAGCTGATACCAGCAATGTCCTCCGATGCTGTGGAAACTTCTAGAACCCAGACCAAAAAAAGGGAAAAGAGGCCAGGTACAGTGGCTCACGCCTGTAATCCCAGCTGAGACAGGGAGATCACTTGAGGTCAGGAGTTCCAGACCAGCCTGGCCAACATGGCGAAACCCCATCTCTACTAAAAATACAAAAATGAGGCATGGTGACGGGCACCTGTAGTCCCAGCTACTCAGGAGGTTGAGGCAGGAGAATCACTTGAATCCAGGACACAGAGGTTGCAGTGAGTCAAGATCACACCACTGCACTCTAGCCTGGGCGACACAATGAGACTCTGTCTCAAAAAAAAAAAGAAAGAAAGAAAGAAAAGGAAAAAGAGGAGAGGAAGAGTGTGGGCCCCTGGGAGAGGTGGCCCTGTGATCTCTCTGTGCTGCTGTTACGACACCTCAGGCAGGACAGTCTCATCCCAGAGACTGTTCCCTTCTGCCCCCTCAGGCTTTGTACCCACCCAGACAGCTGCCCCAGCTCCTCCCTTGCAGAACCTGGCAGAGTAAGTGTGGCACGGATGGGAGTCCCCAACCCTCACACAAAGATGCAGTTCCTGTGCAGGCTGTGGACCAGCATCCGGCTGAACCCCGGACTCGAGTTACACATGTCTGTCACAGCCTGCGAGCGCTACCCAGCGCTCTGCCGCTGGACCTGACACAGCCAGCGGGCCAGGCCAACACTACATGCACCCCCGGGGCTGCCGAGCCGCGTGCTGCCCCTCTGTCCACACTGCTCGCCAACACCTACCCCTGGAAGCCTGCTTCTCCTTGCTAAAGACCAGTGTGAGGGCTCCGAAGGAAGAACATTACTAACCCCACCAAGCTCACTTTGTCATTTCTATTAACCCTGTCCATGTGCACAGGAGTTCTGCTTTCCACCATCCACATTGCCTCCCCAGCAGTCAGTTACTATTTTTAGCAGATGCATTATGTTCCATCCTCCTGATGTATCACAACTCATTTACTTAAGTATCACCACGCTGTAGGACAAGTTGTTTCCAGTTCTTTGCTAGTTAGTAACTGCATCTGTACTAAACATTTTTTGTGCATACAAAAATCAGTCTGCTGTGGTGGTACACACCTGTAGTCCCAGCTACTTGGAAGCCTGAGGTGGGAGGATGGCTTGAGCCCAGGATGCAGAGGCTTGCAGTGAGCCAAGATCATGCCACTGCACTCCAGCCTCTGCAACAAAGCAAGACTCTGTCTCAAAAAGAAAAAAAAAGCAGCTGACACTTACTAGATATTCACTACAGGCCATGTACTAGTTTAAGTGCATTCTGTGTTTTCACTTTTTTTTCTTTTAAGAGACAGGGTCTTGCTCTGTTGCCCAGGTAGTATGGTGGTGATCACAGCTCGGTGCAACCTCAAACTCCTGGGCTCAAACAATCCTTGTCTCCGCCACTCGAATAGCTGGGATTACAAATGCATGCCACCA